TTCCCTCCCCAAAGCCCAAAGCCCGGGCCGCATCCCAACATCCCTCCTTCTCTTCTTCAGCACATGGCACATCCGATCACCGCCTTTTTCGCACATTCGTGGTCCAGCCTCGTCTGCCGCACCAGCTCCCGGCTGCCTCTGTCTGCCTCTGCCCAGACCAGAAGTGCTTGCCACGAGGCCTTTGGCAATCGTTCTAAAAGGCAAGATCTGCTTAAAAATCTTAAGTGCTGCCCCTCCCCCGTAGGAGAAAGCCAAGCTGTGCACTAGTTCACGATGTGACTCTGGCCCACATGCTCGGCCATCTGCTACTTCACTGGCCCGGCTCTGGGCTCAGGCCACATGGACACTTTGCTCTTGCCCTGCACTGGCCACATCCCCATACCTCTGTCCTTCTGTGCTGGGTCCTGACACTCACGTTCCCACTGGCTGCCTGGTGGCACCTGCACACCCTCCGGGTGCCTTTATGATGCACGCGCACGTTGGAAGGCTGTGGAAGGAAAGCCATGCTGGGCATCTGCCTCCAAGCTGCAGCGCTTACCCGGCAGCCTCTGCCAGGGTGTGCTGTTTTGCACGCAGCTATGAGTCTCTTGCCTCCCCAAAACGCTGCACACGGTGCAAGCAGGGTCCTTGTTTTCTGGTCTTTTCCACGCCTTCACACAATTGCCAGGGTTATGATAACATCTCCATAAGGAGGGACTAAGTGATTAAAAAAACACTGCATTTGAATGGAGCTAATTAAACGAGGAGTGATTGTAGCTGGTTCTCACTCTTCATTTCTTTTGATACTAAACAATTTCAAATCTGGCCTAAATTTGAGCTGTTTCTTTCATCATAGGAGGAATTCCCTCTGCCTTAATGCAGACAGCCAAGACCTTTAAGCCCCTACAAAACACGCCCCTGGCTCTGGTTATGGGCAGTGGGAGGAACCACAGCCCACTTGTCTCTGCCCGGCGCTTGGAAGGGACCGCCCTGGAGCTACTAAGGGCACAGCTGGCAGTTGGCTGGGTACCCGAGAATGACAATGAGCAGCTCTTCTCTTTGCTATGCAGGTGTGTGATGGCTGTGACAACCACAGAGACAACGGGGCAGGGAGGGCGGGTGCTCTTGGGGAAGACTGGAAGGGATCCTGTGGCTGGCAGAGCAAATGCATAGGGCATGTGTGCCCGAGAGAGGCCGGGCAGGTGGCAACAGAAAGCCGAGGAAGTCAGCCCATGCCAGCATTTGGAGTGAGCCACAGCCGGCCTCGGGCGCCATTTGCCACTGCAGTGATGACGTGTTGCTGCTTCCAGGAAGGAAGGGGGAGTGGGATGCCACCAGAGTGCCGGATGGGGGACCCTGGGAAGGCACCCTGCAACCTGCAGAAGGTGTCAGGGCCAGTGTCCCTACCTGTTCCATCCTTACAACCCCATCACCATGCACAAGACAGATATTTAGTTCTAATCCACATTATTCGTGGGCCCAGGTGCTGAGACTCCCCACGCTGTATTTGACAAGTTCCCTGCAGCTCGAGGTGTGGAGATGGTACATCAGCATGCATTGACCGTGAAGTGAATTATCTACAGAAATCTATGGAAGCACAGCCTCATCCAGACCATGATTCCAGAGGCCCCAAGCCATTTGCATGCCTTTGGACATCTCCAATCTGTCACTGTCTGACTTAGATCCCAGTGGCCAGGACAGACCCTGCCCTCCCCAATGTCTCCTCGAATGACAGCACCATGTAGGATGTGGTTTTCTTGTTTGGGTCACCATATGCCGATTTATGGACAAGGTTGGCAATCTCCACTGGTTAGTCTCTCAGCTTGATTTCAGTTAGTGGCTGGGGTAGTAAAGTGCTAGTAACCGAGGGTAAGCTCAGGGTAATGTCTTCCAATGTGGGTTTTGTTTGAGCCATTTGGAGCTGGGCTTCCGGTTGTGTAAGTAGGAATATATCCATTTCCAAGATGCAGACAGAAATTAAAATGTCAACGGGCAGTGGTAAAAAATCAATAGCCTTTGAAAGGTTGAAAGTCCACCACTGGTTGATGCAAGTGTGGAATTTACTAACTTTAGACTCTCTTGAGCTGCTCCCTGTTAATACCTCTCCTTTCTGCCTACTTACTATCTTGTGACTTTGTGTCTTTCCTCCTTAACAGCAACTTCTCTGGGTCTTTTCACACCTATACTTTTTTCCTTATATGTTTTTCTCATGTGTACCTTTGCTGTTTACCTCTTCCTTCACATCTGGTTTTCTTCCTTTTTGTTTTTTTCTTCCTTTCTATACCCCTTCCTCATTTCCATGATGTGGCATAAAAATATTTTGAGGGGTTATCTTGCTTCGATTGAATAAAGTTTCTTTTCATCACACTTTTAAAAACCTGCTAACATTTTTGTGTCTTCTGCTTGCCCTTTTAAAACATTGGGAGACTAACAGATCTTTTTTGAGGTGGTGATTAATGGCCCTCAGAAAAAAATACTCCCTATCCCTGGTCTAGAAGATGAAGAAGATACCCCATCTCCATTATGGTTCTTGCATACTTGCATATCTACTGATCCCATTTGGACCCTTATGGTGATAGGAGAAGAATCACCATCTGATTCTGGTTAAACACAGATATGTTCTAGTAACCAGATGGCTTTTGCTTGGCAGTTTAACAAGCAAAGTGTTTACTGACTCTGGAAAACCATTCAGTGCATTGTGTCCTGGGCATTTGTGGTTCTGTTTATGTCCCTTTTACCCAGTGGCCATGGATTTGATGTTCCCATCAAACTTATTGTGTAGCAATTGTATGCTAATTCTTTGCTTAGCTTACTGATAGAATCTCCCTACATAATTATGTATTTATGTCCTTATAGATTTCCTATGTAGAATCAATGTATAGTCGTTTGTAACATTATTCAGGAGTTTAGTTTTGATGAAATGTTTATTGGTGGTATTGCATGAATAACTTTCATAGCAAGTACCTACAAGAATTATGTATTTTTTATATTAGTGTTTCTTTATCATTGTAAGGATCGGTAAATGGGAATGTTGGATATGACTCCGAGATCTGTTTTCGCTCTTTAAATTTCCTTGTGCATTGAACATACTTATGTAAACTTTTCATAAAGACAAAGTAAATTAGAAGAATGGCTGCACCCTTTCATATACCCAGGGGTTTGGAATTCAATTTTGACAGAATTCTCTTAAGTCAATAGATTCATAGGTCAAAGTCATTAAAATTATTGTAGGGCTAAACCTGAAACGAAAACCCAACAAATCAGTAGTCCAGTGTGTGTGGGGGTGTCCTTATTTAAGTACCCCGGATCCCACAGAACTAGAAAAATTAAAACAACTTTATCAGAAATATTGAGCATGCCAAAAATATTGACTTTTATACTGCCCTTGCTGTTTTACAATTCAGTTAGAAGAGTTAAAAAAATTCACTGAATTCGAATATCAATTTCTAACATGGACCTCGTAAAAACTGCTAGCATTCCAACTCGCATGCAACACCATCCAGTTGAATTTGCCCCCACACTCAAGACTATTCATTGGCCATGATGCTGGGTTCTGGGTCATCAATCCTTCTAGCATTCATAGAATATCTGTGGGTCTTTTGTTCTGGTGACTTTGGATTTAGAGATTTGAACTAGATCTGTGAATGTGCTGTGGATTATGAATAAGTGGGTGTTGTCCATGGGCCCACTGCATATTTTGACAACACAGGTTTGTCAGTTTTGTGATGGTACTGGTCCCCTCACTATTTCCCTCTAGGTCTGAGAAGAGCGTGCATTCCACGACTTAAGATCCTTTCCCTTAAAAAAAAAAAAAAAAAGATCCTTTCCCTTACAGAGAACCAGTTTGGGGGTCTTCAAACCAAGTGGCAAATGCTTTGAAATGTTTCAGTTTCAGGGTGGGGAAGATACAGAAATGAGTGGAAGTGAGGCTTGTAAGTGTTATGGGGCGGTTGCGCAGTCCCCTGAAGTCACCATTTACATGATGAAATTAATGCTCAAGATAAATGAAACTATGCAGGGGTTTTGGGTCAGGGATTAAAAAAATGCAATGTAAAGATCTTCTTAACATTTTTTTTTCTTGGGGGAGGGCAGACCTTTGGGGAACGTGGGATTCATCAACTATGCTACAAAACACTTCTATTTTAATAGTCTCATGATTTGAGGGATAGCAAGAGGAGGAAGCAAGGGCCCAGTTAAATGTGGGCAAGATTAGTGGTTATACAGGTCAAACTTAATAAGGTGTTCATGGCCTGAATGATAACAGAGAAGTATCTACAAATTTCCCTTGTAACTTTAGATATGAAGTTTTCTATCACCAGGAAAATGTATATTTCCAAAGGGAGGAAGGAAAAAGCCTGCATTGTCTATTTCATATCCGTATGGTCTTTAGTATTCAAACTTCAATGTATAAAACTACATTTCTCATTTTGCAGGAGGATTTATTATAATTAATTCTTCTTTCCTCTTAAAAATGCTTTGTATATCCTATTTATTTAACTTAAGAGCTTAGAGCATTATACCACTGATCTATTCCAAACCTGAATCATTACCAGCTACTTCCACATCAAACACTCCATTTTTAAATTGTCGTATCTTAAAATATTCAAGTACACCTCAAAGATTGAACAATGACAAGCCATTCTTTCTTCTCTTTGGATTATCCAGCCTATGGAATATCTGCCCATAAAACTTGAGCCGACTTTGACTAAACCTCCTAAAAGTCAGATTGGAATTACTCTGGGTCCCAATCCTCAACACAGACCTACAAATAAAACACCATACTTTGAGTAAAAATTTCAGCACAGAGTTCAATCCCACCCAAGACAAATTTCAAGTAATGCATATTGTAACATCAACACAACACACGTGAACTAGACCTTGGTGATCACGAGGATGGATGAGAGAGGCAGATAATCACGAAGAAAGGGGGGTTTTGCATGATTTTGTGGTTTTCCACTTAAAACCAAAAATACAGAATAAATTTCGAGTTAAAAAAAAGGAATAAATTCCAAGTTACTCACTCATGGATTCCGTTAACCTGGCCATCGCTGCACTTTCTTCTTTATGCTTTTTCTGGGGATGAGAAGAAAAGACATTTATGTATAAGACACACCTGAGATGGGAATTAACACAGTGGGTCTGATGTAGCTCTATTTCTTCCTTTTTCCTACATTAGAATCTGGTCACCAGTGATGAACTGATTTTAAAAATCTCATATTACGGCTACATGATCAGTCACTGAAAAGAGATTTTTAGGGCATTAAAAAAAAAAAAAAACTTGCCATTGCTCTTGGAAGGGAGTTTCTGTCACACTGATCTTGGATATATATAATTGGTGACGCACGACCAATTTTCAAAACCTCTCTGACACTGGGTTTTTGACATCCATATGCCAATCTTTGCTTTCTATTTTCTCCTGTTGAAGCTTTTTTGATATTTTTGGAGCTGGTATTTTTGTCGTCATTTGATTTCTTTTTTTTCTAAAAGCTAAGTCGATTTTATACATTTTCCTTTGTCTTACTTTCTGGAATTCCTGGGGTCTTTTGAAAGTTATCACTTTTGATGGGTTTACAACCTTATCTATTTTGGGCAGAAAACATTTTGTTTCAACTGGGATATAGGTTATTACCCACTGAGTTTGAGAGCCAGAGTGATACCTACATAAATTGGATCTGTCCTAATTAAAAAATTACTTTGGGGCTATTAAAAATAATGGTCATCTCTACTGAAAAGTTCTCTTCAGTTTCTTCATATTTCTTCAATTTCCTCGGGTTCTTAACATGTACAGTAACTGAAACGTTGGCCTCTATTATTTTACTGTTTTGCATCCTTTTTCTTTTTCTGATTATGAAACTAATACATGCTTGTTATTTAAAAGCTCCAAAAGTACTGAAAAATTATAAATCAGAAAATATAGTTCTCCCCCAAAACCCCCCAGAGGAAACCACTGAGCAGATTTTGGTGAATGCCTATTTATTCCCATTTTTGTACCTGTGAATACATACATATATGGAAGTATAATTCCTTTTTTAGAAATATAAATATCTATACTATATGTGCAATGTTATGAGCTACTTTCTTCACTTAACATCGTATCACACATCTTTCTATGTCAATAAAGGTAGACTACACCATCATTTTTAAATGACTGCATAGCATTCATCATGGGTGAACACACCATAATTTCTTCAGCCAGATTCCATTTAATTCACTTACAATTTTCCACTATTTTATAAAATCTTTGATAAGCACCCTTGAACTCATCATATGTTGGTGCACTTGACCTGAGGACAAATCTTCGGGTTAAGATTGATCTCAAAGTGTGAATATTAAGAATTTTTGACACATATTACTCAATTGTCCCTCCCAAAGTTTGGATCTGACAGTGTATAAAAGTGTTCATTTCCTTACATTCTTGCCAACTTGCCAGTGGCATAATTATTCCACCCTCATTCTTGGCCAAACTGATAGGCAAGAAATAGTTTCTTGTTATCTTATACTGTCATTATTCCTTCTCTGACCTTTTGTTTATGAACAACCATAGCATTCCTTCACATGTCATCAGCACGTCATTGACTTGGTCTCCTGTGGTCGTGCTCCAGCTCTTCTGCCATCAATATTTCAGTTCTTAGAAGCCAAAGGTGGCATTTGTTTTTCCCCATGGCCATGGTATCGTGTGAGCAAGTCACAGCTGCTTGGCTAGCACTTGAGTTAATGTGTCACGGCTTGGGTGTTGGAGCACAGCTAACAAAATGATTATTCATCCTTCTGGTGTCACTATTCTCAAACTGGAAGTTTGCTTTGTGTCAACAACTTTGTATATCCCAAGTACACTGGATTTTTATAGGCCCTGTATTCATAGCAATGAAATTAGTGTTCCGCCTCTTACTTTGATAATTGCCCTTGCCAAAAGAAGGACCTAAGGAACCACGATCTACCATCCTACATGCAACAGCATCTAACCCATCATATTTAGCCTGCCATATGGCTTCTATTGAGATGTCTATGGAGAGGCTAAGAGGGCCATGTAGCAGAGAACTAAGACAGGCAAAGAGAAACTTGTCACGACAACACAGGTTTACAGAAATGGGCACGGAGACCGCTTCAAAATGAGCCCATTCTAATGGTTCCTGACAATTTGCCCATAGAAGCGACTCTATGATGAGAACTCAGTGACATTTTTCCTTGACCTGCAGGAACTTTGTTCTGTCTCTGCTTGCTCCGTGTTGACTCTCCACTTCACCCCTTAGCCTAACTCTACTGCTGTTTTGGCCCTTCTGGCTATGTGGACTCTACTTGTATCCTGGTATATGACCTGCTTCTCCTTCATCTTCTGGCTCTGTGCTTATAGGTGCTCACCCTGGGTCACTGATTGCTTCAGCTTGGCCCTCCTATGACGGCCCCAGTGGTGAAGGTCCCCAGAGCACAGGTATCCAGATTCCAGGCGTTATATCCTAATGAGGCCTTGTCAGTTTTGTCCATCTTCCTGTGTGTGTCACCACTTCACTCTTATGACCCAAGGACCCTGCCACCTTTTGTACCCTAGCCCTGCTGGTGGGTGGACCTTGCAACTATTTTTATTCAGATGTGTTGGATATCCTAGTCCTGGAGAAATCAAATACTGCCTGTATCAGCATTTTTCTCGTCCCTGTAGTTAAATGGGAACTTCTGGCACCAATGGGGGAGGGGTCCTTAAAAACGCTAAATTTAGCTCTCTCAGTTTGACTCATCTATATCATAACTTATGGTAGAAATCACGGCATCTGTTTCTGTGTAAGTAGTTCAGTCATTCTATGGGATGTCTTTAAACTCCTTCTGTCCTTCCCTCATTATCAGAGAGCTGAGGGTTGCAACCACAAGGCACGTATACCTAATAAGGAATTGACATGCCACTCTTGATCCTGGGCAAATCCTCTTCCTTTTCTAAAGCTAAAATTTTTCCTCCAAAGTAAATTTTGCTGTTATCAGATTTACAGTACTGGAGAGAGGTTTAGAATTACAACATATTAAACCTGGAAGAGATTCTTTCAGAGATTGTCAAGTCCGACCCTATGGTGATCTAGTCAAGGAAATTGAAACCCTTGCCCAGAGGAATTTCCACCATGGTGGGCTCTTCCTCCTGTCAACCTCCACTCCCCTGGAAATCTTCAGGACCACCACCTACGGGTATATCAAGACAAGATTCCTCACATAGCAATCCTGTCATGTCGGGCCTTCTCAGATTTGCCTCCTCTGTATTCCCCAACAATATCCTTGATTTCTACAAATGGCTGATGAGCTCCTAACTTATATATCCAGCTCTGACCTCTCCATTGAACTTCTGTTGTGTACTGGGGCCCCACCCAGGTGTTCATTGGATGTTCCAAACCAGCAGGCTCAAAGCTACTGTGTCCCTCACAGACATCCACCACCTTCATACCCAGGCTTCTTTCTTCATTCTCTGTCTTCATTTTATAGGATCACCACCCACATCATACCTATGCCAGAAGTCTGAGAACATGCCTCCCTCTCTTTCTTCCCCACCCCCAATATTTCACATATCTTAAATCTTACTCCCTTATCTGGTGTCTCTAAAGGGACTGTTAATGTTGCTTCCACCTGCCTCTGGTCACATCTCCAACACTGAGGGTTTATTCTGAAACAGCCCTGGGGATCAACTTAAAAAGTAGACCTGACCCAGGCACCTCCAGGTTCCTGGAGGAACCTGAATCTTTCAGTTCCAGTCTAGCAAGTAAGTATGCAATCCTTGTCTTTTAGGTGGGGCCACATGGCTGGATGGTTCCATCTTCTACACTTACAGTCTAGTTACAGCTACCTTCCTTCTGTGGCAATCACTGTTCCCTCTGCCTGGATACTCTAATTTCCATTTCCTCCTTGTGCTCCCAAATTTATCCCTAAGAACTCCATTGGATATAAGGCAACATTTGCAGTTTCCCCTACTCTTCTTACCATGTCTCCCAAGTTTTTACATCTACACATGTTCATGATCAAATGCATCCTTATGTCACATCACATCATTTGTTATGGGGGTAGGAGATTCCAAGACCTTTGAAAAAGTCAAGTCCTGACTCCCAATAGCCTCATCTGGGGGCTCCCACCCATGCCACCATTACAGCTGGGAGGTAGGGTGGCACATGGTAGACCAGAAGTCTCTGCTACTGAAAAGCCCTGTGGTCCTAAGCAAGTCATCTTACTTTTGTGGTTAGGTTTCTGGACTTTCTCTTTCTGACCTGGTTTGCTTTATGCTAAGGTGCCCCCAGGATTAGTTAGTTATGTGAAGAGGATGTCTGTAAATGCTTATGTGTATTGGTGATATATTAAGATGGGAAAAAAACCCAGATGTGTTGACTTCAAGAATTTTCCTTAAGAAATATCTTTCCTCTGGGAGGCCAAGAGTTTTGATATTTGAGATAATCATTATTATGTAAAATGTAAAAGAAAACCAGGAATATGGGAACCTTACTATTCTGAAGCAAAGAGCTTACTTGGTCCTGAAAACTTATTGTTCTTATTTACTGTGTATGTCCTGCTTACATGTTCTTAATACTCTGAGACAGAGCAAGAAAGTGAGAAGTACAGGCACTTAAGTGAGAGGACAGGGAGTCCAGGAAAGGTTTAGAAAGGTGCTTGCTTGGCTTTGACGTTTCTTAGCCAGTTACTGTGACCCTCTGGGAGCTCCAGTTTGCTCATCTGTAAAGTGGGATACGTACTGTCTGTCTGTGTTTCCTCATTCACAGGCCTGGTGTGAGGAACAAGTGAGGAAATATATGTTAGTACACTCAAGGGTTGTGTCCCTGTGTGTGACTGTGTGTGTGTAATCAGTATTACCTTTGGCTACCATGTGAGGACCAAGGCTTGTAGCCTGTTCTTGCTATTTGATGTTGAATAGTGAGTTCTGGCATGTGTACCAAAAATAACAGAGCAATTTTCCCTAAAGCTAAGAAGTCTCGAGGCTGTCTGCCCCCCAGGGACGACTCATCATGTCAGCGGCTCATGGCCATGCACCTCATGTCCCTATTTCCAGAATCCTCCACCACAATACAAGGTTCTTCTTAGAAGAGCTGAAATCTTTT